ATATATATATATATATATATATAAATGGCCCAAAATTTTCTGCCGGGTTTACTCTAGCCAACCGTGTTGCCTGCCGCGAAGCAGACAGTGATAGTGACGAGACTTAGCGGTAACGGCAGCCCCACGCTCTTCCGTCACTGTTGTTACACTTTCCCGTTAAGTCACGCGCCCCTAAACGACGCCATTTATTGGAAACATTATTACTTCATTTTTTACCACTACTATTCAGTCAATATGTGTCAACCTACTTGTTAACTAACGGCTCCGTCAATTGATTTTGTTGTCCCTTACCACAACATTACACCAACATCCCTTTGATCCCGTTTAAGATTCTAACCATGGTTAAAAAAGAACTTAACCATGGTTGGATAAATTAGTTAAGTTTTGTCAATTTTTGCAATTATTTTTAATTTTCCGGCCTGCCCACATCATGAATGAAAAAGAAGGAAGGTCCCCCACATTATGAAGTACTAGTACTAATGCTTTTGTAATTATTGAACTATTTGTGTGTTCTAGATGTGACTATCTCTTATACTACTTGAATTGTAATGTAATGCTATCTTGATTTACCTAGGATTATATAAAAAGGACATGTCCATAGCTTATACTTATGCTTATACTTATACTTAAGCTAAGTATAGCAACAAATTTGTAAATCTTTTCCAAGTAATGGATAAGTTACTTTTAGATGTGACCGTGACAGATGAAAAAAATAACAATAAACGTAAGGGATAAAATAAGCGCAAATCTAACTACAAACTCTATATATGGCTTGGCGTACATCAATAGACACATGTAAATGAAAATGTAAAGCCCAAATTTACTGAATTCTATGCAAGGTTTGGCGTGCATCAATAGACACGTGTTGTATGTGTGAGTGATAATGTAAAACCTAGACTTAAATAATGGATGGATTTTACTTTAAACATATGATGTTACCGAAAAAGAAGTATAAAACCATTTAACCAAATCAAAATAAATTAAAACTATACATGGTAAAATGCTATGGCATACAAAGTATCTAAATACGAGACACATGGTATGAGACTATGAGTAGCATAAGTTTTCGCCATAGGAAAATTTTTCCAATTCAATCTTCATTCTGTTCCGATTGAAAGCATTGTGATTTACCTAAGATTTTTTTTAACAAAAAATGAGCTTGTTATATTAAGCTAAATAACAAGATATTGTAAAGTCTATTTCAAATAATGGATGAGTTAATTTAGACATGAATGTATGACAACAATATAGAGATATTGTGGTTAATGACAAATGCAAACATTAACATAAACTCAAATTTATAGATAGACCGCTATGCATGCCTAAGTGCAAAATTAATCAATAGGAACTTAACATGATGTACGTGTCTATACTAATTCAACACATATATATGCCTTTATCGGACTAAACAATTAATGAATGTGTACACCATCTGTTTTATATAGATTTTTTTTTAAAAGTGAGAATATTATCATCAATATGAAACATATTGTAAGAAGTATATGATTTATTTTAAGCATTGTATACATTTTCTTCCAGCTTAAAAATAATATTAATAATAAAGGAAATGAATTGAACATCATAATACAATTGACTTCACAACCTCGATCTAGATCTTTTGCTTAGGTTTTAATTTATATAATTAGTACATTTGGTTTAATTTGCAAATAACTAAACTAGTAGTGGAATTTAGCTCTATGATGTGATAAATTTTCTCCTCTTTTCGTTTGTTAATAAGAGCTAGGGGATAATACATTAATACATAACCACTATTGTTGTTCAATAACAAAATTGCTGATTTTGACCCGTTTATTGAAACACCTTTTTGATCTGATCCAAACCTTTTAAACTGATTGCAAAATTTTCACATAGGTATTTAGATAGTTAGAGTACAAGTGATGTTGGTAAAACATTTTAGAGTACGCCTATACGTACAGACCTTATCACTTGTGTTATACGATGTTGTAATTAATTTGAAATGGAAGAGAGCTAATTCATCTATAAGCCTTAAAGTGGAACATGTCAAAAAGCAATAATAGGTTCTCACATCATAGGGTTTTTGCTTATTGACGTATCGTGCAAAGTATATTAAAAAAAAAAAAAATTATGTGTGTGACTTGACATATTTCACACCTACTCCCTCCGTCCCTTATATTTTGCCCCATAGTGTAATGTTACTTTATTAAGTTTTGGTTGAAAAAAGGTAATTAGAGAGAAAAGTAATGAGGTTAATGGGGTGGTCGTGAGAGTAGAAATGTCCAAAAATAAAATGGGACAAAATTAAAAAGACAGACTAAAAAGAAAATTGGGATAAAAATTAAGGGAGAGAGGAAGTACAAATAAATGTGACATCACTACCTCTTACCGGATATACATATCATTAACACCTCTAATTGGATATTATCTAAACTAGTTGGGCCCAATTCACATAACTGTCTTTATAGATATCATCAAACTCAAGTGATTAATTAAGTTTAATTTCCAAAATTTACATACAATAATGTATTTTTGTTTTTAAAAAAGGGCTCCATGTGTAATAATGTGTGAAATATTATTAGCTGTGTAAATCATATGAAAAGGGAAATTAATTATTTATTAATGATACCATTTCTTATATGTCTTGCAATTAGTTGTCCATAATCTCACATTGCCTTCTATTAAGATTTACTAATATATCATCCAAATATAAAAGATTATTTCTATCATTAAGATGTTTCAAGTCTATATATACAATGGTCTAAATCAGTGACAAATTCCATTCAAGAAGATACTCCACAAAACATATACAAAAATATCCTTGAAGAATTCCTCCATATAGCAAAGGTAAGTCATCACATATTCTCTTTAGTATTAGAATGTCTATCAATTATAATTATATATTCTCTATAGCATAGATGTCTTCCAATCTGTTACTTTGTCAAAATACAGCAATTCGAATAATACCATTTCTAAATCTTTTATTTATATAAATTCATTCGTACAAGATAAAAAGCACCCATGCTTCCCTACAAACAGTATGGAATCATTTTATTTATTTGACTATAAAATCCAGTATTTTATCTTTTAATAAGTAATACAAGTACTGTACCATTTTTTTTTTTGAAGCAACTATTCCTTTTTATAATTAGTTGCATCATTTTTTTTTGCACTATCTATATATAAAATTGTCATAAACTCATCACCCAATCAGAAAAAACTCGATCATATAATTAATCTGCATGAGCATATAAATTTAGCACAACTTAAAATCCGAAATGACCCAATCTAACCTTGCCCGATGACCGTACCCGAATTTACATTGGTTTTGATCCCGTTTGTTTTACATACTTTATATAGTACTCTGTAGCTAGATTTATAATTCTATATAAATTTATGCAATATCAAACCTAAAAGTCATCAAAATGGTGTTACGGCTATGTTTAATTTACCTTTATTATTTCAGAAACTTATTAGTTGTAGTTGATCACCAGCTCAGACCAAAAAAAAAAAATGAATTGATTAATATTTTACACTTTAAATGTATCAATATAATTAGGATTTTTTTGTAAATAACCACCAAAATGTACCCAGTGTTGAACTAACCACTCATTTTTTTTTGAAATTAAAAAATACCACCCTTATTTTACAAAACCAGTAGCTTTCACCACCCATCCTATATCCCGGCCTGTTTTCCGACTGATGGCCCACGTGGCACCACCCCTATTGGTCTAAAATAAAGAAAATAAAAAAAAAATCAAATTTTCCCCTCCTCCTCCTCCTGCCATCGGGACAGTGAACCCCACCCAAACCAACCTCTTGCCGGACCATCAAAATCAGCCAACGCCGCCCTCTCCCACTCCCCATTCACTGCCAGCGTCTAGCATAGCCTCCCCGCCAGCACCCACTCTTCCCCTAATTGCCGACAAACCAAACTCAACCTTCTAGCCTCCACCTCGACCATCGCCTGAAACTCGCATCATTCCTCGAAGAAGCACCAATCGCTATCCCCACCCCTCACCTGAAATCTGTAACTCATCCCTCGCCTGAAACCCTTACCCACTCTCCACAGCCTGAAATCCCCTATTAGCCCGAAACTCCAACCCTCACATGAAACCTAACCCTTAAACTATCCTAAACCAAGGAGGGGGGTCGAAATTATTGAGGGGGGAAGGAAAGGGGCCGGAAACAAGGACGGAAAGAAGGAGGGGGTGCCGGAAACGGAGACGCGGAAAGCAGGGGGTGCCGGTGGTGGCAGGGCTGCCGCCTACTAGAGGTGACAGGAATGGGTTTAAATTTTTGTAAGTTTAATTTTTATTTCAAAACCCTAAATCGAAAAAACTGGCCGGAATAGAGGTAGGGGTGGTAAAATCTACTGATTTTGTAAAATAGTGGTGGTATTTTTTAATTTAAAAAACAATGGGTGGTTGGTTCAACACAGGGTACATTTTGGGGTGGTTATTTACAAAAATCTATATAATTATAAAAATTAAGTTTCTTTAGATTAAAATAAAAATTGAAATAATTTTTTTAAAAAAAAATAAATTGTAAAAATTAATACGGAGTATTTAATTAAATACATAAAAAATAATACGAGTACCAACTACAGTATTGAAAAACATGTCACTTAACTTGCTAAAATCGGTTATCAACCAATCTTATTCTATTTAAACGAATGCCCCGAAGGACAAAGGTGGTACTATTATTATTTTGGAATAATTAACCAAAGGGTCAATTAGTTATGGAAGATCAATCAAAAGTCATATACTACAAGATTTTTTAATCGAATGAAGTAAGATTTTTACTTCATATTTTCTTTGGCCAGTTGTCCAGATTCGTAAATAAAAAAGACTCATTATGACAATTTGATAAAAAAAATGACTCCAACAACAATTTGGTAAAAAAACCTAATTCCAAGTGACAGTTTGCTTAAAAAAAAAAAGTTGAAGTTAGTTTTTTTTTTATTTTTTTTTTTTATTACCAAATTAGTCTTTTTTATTTACAAATGTGATCAATTGACCTATTTTCTTTTAAATGAAAAACTTTAGTCCTAAAATAAGGAGAGAGAAAGAAGTGATGTCCGTGTGAGTCATGACACGGTGAAAGGCAGCAACAAACGGGGGTGAGAGGATGCGTATAATAAGACGCGCGTAAAGCGGTTTTGGGATTCTGTAACGGCGTTCATTTCCCCCATCAAATCAAACATACCCAAAAAAAAAAAAAAAAAAAAAACTAGAGAGAGAAAAAACTCCAGCACCAACAACATTACAAGAAGCAGAGGAACAAAAAGCTGGTTTTACTGGATTTTTTAAGCGGTTTTGTTTAGCTAAAAAGCAGTTTTCCGGGTGGTAGAGAAGTGGGTTTTATGTGATTATAAACTTTTGGGGTGGTTTTTTTTATTAGAGAAATTTCATTTCAGTTACAAACGTTTCGAAACTCCAAAGGTTGGAGCTTTAATTGCAGACAATAATATTGGTGATAAATTGAGTATTTATTGATTGATTCAGAAGCTTTGTATTTTTTGTTACCCTTTTCAACTCATTTTAAGATTTGAAGAAGAAGATTATTTATGGCAAATAGTATGGCATTTGGACAACCCAATTTATCTCCTGGTGTTCGAGATTCAGGTACATATTTTTTAGAAAATTTTTCCAAATTTAATTTAATAATTCCTGTGAATTTCGTCAATTGAATATAAAATGGGTTTATTTATTTTATAATTTTTGTGAAATTGTGAATAATTTAGCAGGTGGAGGTGATGTTCTGTATCCAGAGCTATGGAGGGCGTGTGCTGGTCCACTGGTGGAAATTCCGCGCGTGAATGAGAGAGTTTACTATTTTCCTCAAGGTCATATGGAACAAGTGAGTTTAATTTCCATATATATATATATATTTTTATTTTTTTTTTAATTTTGGGTTTTTAATTTTTTTGAAGGATTTTTAATTTTTTCTGGGTTAATTTTGATGAATATTTGCAAAATTGTTTGTAGTTGGAAGCGTCAACAAACGAGGAATTAAATCAGAGAATTCACATGTTTAATCTAAATTCTAAGATCTTATGTCGTGTGTTGAACATTCATTTGCTGGTAATTATTCTTTGAATTTCGCTATTTTTTTTTTAATAATTTTTGTAATTTTATAATGTTTTAAATTAATTAATTATTTGGTTGTTTAATTGTAGGCTGAAAAAGAAACAGATGAAGTGTATGCACAAATAACTTTACTGCCAGAAGCAGATGTAAGACTCTTTGAAAATGATTGTTAATTTGTTTGATTTTGACAAGGCCTTTGCATCTTTTGATTTTGATTTTGATTTTATTACTTTTTGTGTTGAAATTTCTTTTTGGGGGTGTTTGCTTTTTTTTTTGATTTTCTCCTGAAATTGTGGTTTGTTGAGGAAATTTTGTTATTTTTGTGTGTAGCAAACTGAACCACTAACTGCTGATGAATATCCATCCGAGCCACGGAGGCCGACGATTCGGTCCTTCTCTAAGGTCTTGACTGCCTCCGACACCAGCACCCATGGTGGATTCTCCGTTCTTCGCAAACACGCGAATGAATGCCTTCCTCCTTTGGTATATACTTGTTTTTGCTCAAATTTTAAGTTTGTGGTTCTGCTGATTTTTGATGATAATTGATTTCTCGTGTTTTTTTTCTTTCCTAGGATATGACCCAACAAACTCCAACTCAAGAGTTGGCAGCCGAAGATCTTCATGGCTATCCGTGGCGCTTTAAGCATATCTTCAGAGGTATGATCATTTTGTAGTTCAATGTGATGTTCAATTCATTAATCGAGCAATGTTCAATTTTCATTGATTAGTAAATACACCAAATTGTTGAAAGTAAAGCTGCTTGCTACCTTGCTCTAATCACATGCATTAGGTTGTCTAGAAACCACCTAATGTTCTCACCAATCATTTCATCCTCGTGTAGGTCAACCTCGAAGGCATTTGTTAACAACTGGATGGAGTCATTTTGTGACTTCAAAGAGAATAGTTGCTGGTGATTCTTTTGTTTTCCTCAGGTAAATTGCTTGTTCCAAAATTACAAGGATCCTGTATGCAAATTGTCTGTGGTATTGTATTAATGTTCGTCATTGGGTTGTTTAGAGGAGAGAAGGGTGAATTACGAGTTGGGGTGCGGCGTGTTGCCCGTCAACAGAGCAGCATGCCCTCGTCTGTGATCTCTAGTCAGAGTATGCACCTCGGAGTACTTGCAACTGCATCCCATGCTGTCACTACTAATACCTACTTTGTGGTTTATTATAAGCCGAGGTAAGCTTCACTACTAATTATGAAATGTAAATTGTAATGCTGTTGCTGGTTTCCAATCTTAGGAGTCGAGAACTATAATATTTTTGTGACACCAGTTGGTTTTTTTTTCATCTTAAAACAAGCAGGATGAGTCAGTTCATCGTAGGATTGAACAAATACTTGCAGTCGGTTGCCAATGATTATAAAGTGGGCATGAGGTTTAAGATGAAATTTGAAGGGGACGACACTCCAGAGAGAAGGTATTGGAACGTCACGTGTCCTTTCAGTTAAATTTGTTTCTGAGATTAGAGTTGTCATTAAATAATCTATTCTATTCTTAAATTTGGTGATTTCAATAGGTTTACAGGTACAATTGTTGGTGTTGAGGAACTCTCACCCCAATGGAAGGATTCTAAATGGCGATCATTGAAGGTTCAGAAGCCCTCCTTTTCTGTGTCCAATTATGAAGTTGCTACGCTTTGTAGTCAAATTTCTTATTGTTTTACCTTCTTTTGTAGGTTCAATGGGATGAACCCACATCCATTCCTAGATCAGATAGGGTGTCTCCATGGGAGATTGAACCCTTTGGTTATCCTGCTGCTTCAGATGTTGCAGATCCTGTTGTCAAGAACAAAAAGCCCCGGCCATCAGTTGAAATCCCTGGCCATGGTAAGAGAAGCCTTTTCTGCATTACTCCTGTCTTTTGAGCTCAAAATTTTTAATGTGTTGCTTAGAATCTTCTGTACAACTTTCGTTCCTAATTTCCACCATCTTACTTGCAGCTTCCATGTCAGTTAATGATTCAACTCCTTGGAATCCCATTAATGACATCGCTCAGGTGAGTCTAGAGTCTTTGAATTTCATAAAACATACTCTGTATTTATTATCAAGAATCTCGACATTTGGATTTCTTTTGGATTACTGCTATATTTTCTCTATCTTACATGTAAATTTGATATCAGGCAGAAATAGAGGATTGTAAAACTGCAACTGCATGGTCCGTTTTCTCTGGATATGGAACCCCACAGTCTGCGAAACAAACTGGTGACCTAACTGAAATTGGGAAGAAAACCGAGACCACTTCGAGCTACAGGCTGTTTGGTATTGACCTAATGAAACCTTCCACACCGACAACTGTGGAGGAGGACTTTGTGCAAGAGCCAAATGTGAATGGAGTCTCCAAAGAGGAACAGGGGCGCAGCTTAGACTCAGCCGCTGAATCTGAACAAAAATCAGATCTTTCAAAGATTTCTCAAGAAAAGAAGCAAACGCTACTATTGGCTTCATCCAAAGATATGCCAAGCAAGCAGGGTTCCTCTACCAGAAGTCGTACAAAGGTATATACAAGTGATGCATAAGATAGTACCCTATGATCCTGATTTTCCTAGTTTATTAGTCTAATAAGAACATTTGTTGGAATAGGTGCAAATGCAAGGTGTTGCTGTTGGTCGGGCTGTTGATTTGACAACGTTGGAAAATTATGATCAGCTAATCGATGAATTGGAAGAGCTTTTCGATATAAAAGGAGAACTTCGTCCCAGAGTTAAATGGGAAATCGTATTCACAGATGATGAAGGTGATATGATGCTTGTTGGCGATGATCCTTGGCTGTGAGTCTTCTTTCTATCTTGGTCTCATTAAAATGAAACAAAAACTGTCCATTTCCAAATTTGCTGATTCAGTTTTTTATTTGTTTTCGTGCAGTGAATTCTGTAGCATGGCCAAGAAACTTTACATCTGTTCAAGCCAAGAAGTGAAGAAAATGAGCGCGGGATGCAAGTTGCCCTCGTCATCATTAGAAGGTGATGGTACTGTTGTAAGCATGGAATCTTCTGGGAATTGAAGGGCTCTTAATCAAAACTTTAGGACCTTCCTTCTGGGTGAATGGGTGATCAACCTTTTTTTTTTAGTCTTTTTAATTCATTTTGATGAAATGGAAACTGTTTCATAATTTGTTAGTGCTAATGTGGTGAGCTTAGAGAAAAGGATTCTTTTCCTTTTTGTTGGCAACTCACTTTTTAGGGAGTTATTTTATAAAAACTTGGTAGGCTAAGTAGTAGTCCTAAAAGCCAACTACTAAAGTTGGGGTTTTTTTCAAGTGTTAAAAATCAATTTCAAATCATCAGGATGATTAGTGGGAAGAGAGAGAGATAGAAATGTTAGGACTTTTAGACTGTTGTGAATATATAAAATGTTAAGCCATTTTTAGTGGTTCTTTCTTTCTCTTTTCTATGTTTGGTTTGTAAATAACTGTACTTAGCTTGTGGCAATTTAGTCATTTATTTTGCCTTTACCAGCTTTATGGTATTATTGGTATATACAAACAAATTAGAGTAATTTCTTGTTATATTTCTACCATATATAGACCAACTAGTTTTAGTGGACTACATGGGATGATTCTTGCAAGTATAAAAAATTCTGAAGTTAGTTCATTTTCTTGCTTTAGCAGTAGTGAAAGTGACTACATAATTACCTTCTTCGGCCGCCTATTAGGGTGAAGTTACTTGAAAGAGAAAGTAAGTAGGGCTGAATGTAGGTGTGAAAGTAAATTGTGTTAATCTATGAGACTATGACCATTTGTAGTACGGGGCAAACTCAAGCCCTCAAGGGGACTAATCAGATTGAAAGCCTGGCAAACTCGAAAGGACAAACTTTGTTCCTTTCAAGTGATAGAGGGAGTAGCTGAAGATTTCATTTCCAATTTTTGTGCCTTACAAAGGAGAATGATAAGTTTTGGGTAGAGAATTTCCAATTTCTTTGAAGTTAAGTCTAGCCGCTTTTATGCAAAATATGGTGATTTCCTTTCTACCATCCTTTTCTCATAAGTATGCTATAGGTTATTTTCTACTTCTTCAACTGGATAAGTTGGAGTTTAAGTTGGAGCTTGGAGATATAGTTGTCTCCTATTGATTTTGGAATGAAATCTTACTCTAGCCATCACCTATTGATTTTGGAATGAAATCTAATTTGGGCTTATAAACGGCTAACTCCATTTACATATTTAATGTTAAATATTCATCGGGGTAACCTCTTTCTTTTTTGAGGAAGATTTACGTAGTACATTATTTGGTTCTCTTACATGCCATATTTCGATCCTTACTATAAGATAGTATACTAGCAGGATAAAAATTTACTCCTATTAAGTTTTGGGTTTGTGGTTTTTGTTAACTACTCATCATATAATTATTTGTCTTAGACTATCTTTATTAGAATTTGGATCTTTTAGTACGTATTTCTAGAAAGGAAGAAATCAAATCCAATTAATCTATCGTGAAGACTAAAGGAGACACTTCAGGATATGGTTTATCCAATTCAGAAATCAGGATATGGTTTGTCAGAGTTTTCTTCAAGCTAATGGTATGCAACATCAAAAAACACACACTAATGCACTATGCTACTATGATCAAGTATTTGGGGGAGTGTACAACTTTTTGTTCAGTGTGAATGCAACATGTCTTATTCTTGGCGTAATCGTGTAACTCGTGAAATCCTGTATTCTGTTCATTCTCCTTGATAGCCAATGAGTACTTGTAGTTTGGTACCACCATGTCATTTGTCGTCCTGACCAATAAGTGTTGATATTCTAGGTTTTCTAAATGAAGCTTAAGATTGTATTACGGAACTGAAAATGAAGCTTAAGATTGTATTACGGAACTGAAAATGAATGTTAAGCGGGTTAAATTGTGATTGATAAGCAGTTAGAGTAGAGGATAGAGATAATATGGTGGTCTTATTTCATCCAAGATATTTTAGAAGGAATAGGCAGATAGCAGAATGCAACTTACAAAGACAATTAGGTTTTTGATGGGCCTATGTTGTCAGAAAGTTCAATAGTTGTTAGCTTGATGGTAATTCATGAGAATTGTTAAAGTTGGAATTTAAAAGGGGCCTTGATTTGGAATATAATTAAAGGGTCGTGATCCATTGCAAATTTACAATATAAAAGCTATATTAATCTCACAATTATTTATTACGACTTTTACAACGAGGAATCAAAGATGAATGTTTCTTTGAATTTTTGAAATGACTTGTATATTTTTTGCAAAGGACATGTATGTGCTATTTACATCATCATTTGCAATACGGAGATGAATTTCGATCTACTCAACCATGCTGTCTTTCACCGTTGCTTCTAAGATACTAAACGGCAAATTAATGGTTAATAAAGGGCATTAAACTCCCTATTATCTCGTAATAGTTTGACTTATACTTCGTATATCAAAGTATTTTCATTGATCATCTGCAAGAATGAGATGGGTTAAGTTAATCCTTTTGGTAGAAGCTAAGTGCTAACCTTATTTCTTCTTCCATTAGAAAAAAAGGGCTTCCCAACTCACGTAGAGGTTCTGACATATGGGGTTGTTTAGCAATCGGCGGTTGGCTGTTGGCTTATTTGCTTGGCTTGTTTGACTAGCTGGAAGTATTAGCTGTATGGATTGACCTTTTAAGTTAGTTGTTTAAGCCGGCTGTTTACAAAAGTGTTTGGTAAAATTATCTATGGTTGTTAGCCGTTTATTAGTGATAGAGTGGGCCAACAAGCCAAAAGCCAATAGAAAAAGTTACTTCTATTAGCTTTTGGCTTTTGGCGGAAAAACCAGCTTAAAAGCCAACAAAAAAGCCAACTATTGATGTATGCGTTTTATACCATGATTTACCCCGGTTTTATAGTGTATATTTGCATGGTTTTGAGCTCTACGGAGCCCTTTCTCGCTAACAATCTCTTCTCTAGTGTGTTCGATCTATTTTATTGAGTTTCACAGGAATACAAAGATTTCTTAGATGAATCGGACTTATTTTGGATGATTATAGAAGAATTGTCGAGTGAAGAATGAAGATTTCCCCAATGCCTTATCGGGCATCCCATGCCCTGGCTGCTAGGGCGAAGAAAGGAAGAGCTAACTACGAAGAATAGTCATTTGATCACACGTGCCCTATCGGGCATGTCATGCCCTGGCAGACCGGGCAATGAAGAGTTATTTTTAGAGCTTCATTCTTGAAGCTGTTATGCGCGCCCGACCGGGCGTGAGGTGCCCTGGCTGACCGGGCAGAAGAAGAAAGTTAGAGTAGGAGACATTAACTTTGTCCGCCCGATTGGGCAGGCCTTGCCCGGTCTGGTCGGGCACTGTTGCGCACCGTCGTTAATTGTTTTCGGAATTCTATCTTTTGAAGGGTATAAATACCCCCTGTAATCACATTTAGAAGACAGCTTATTATTTTCCCTAGTATTAGAACTACTTTAAAAACCCTAGTTTACTCTCTTTAAGCAATTAATTTCTACTCTTGGTTTTAGAATTATTGTTCATCAACAATTTAAGCTTTCTCAATTGAAGTAATTGGTATTCATCTACTTTATCACTCTTTTACTTTTCATTGCTTATTAACTATGTTTTCTTCATTGAATCTTATTTTTGCCTTCGTTAATACGTGTGAGTAGATCATTAATCCGGGATCTTGCAAGGCCCGAGTATGGTTGATACATGAATTGAATCTTTAATTCCTCCAATAATAATCCCAATTGACATGCTTAATTGATTGTGTTTATGCCATGCTAGATTAGGAATAATTAGTATTGTTATCATCCCTTTGTTCTTATTGCAACAGAAGTTGGGTATTAACGAGATTTGGGTATTTCAATTAGTGGTTTGAAGATCATCACGGAAGTAGGTGATTGGATGATTAGGAAGTTAAGCATTGTGTTTAATGTCCCTTATTACTTGATTCCATGGAAATAGGCTTGATAGTTTATATGGGAAGTCATTGATAACTCGGAAGAGACCTTTGGTATTGTTTAGGGAATGTTTTTCCTCTTGTCAATTGACTTATTATTGGGGGTAGATTTATTAGTGTATCGATTATGTTCGTGGTAATGCTTGATCTTGGATGTTTTAGTTAATTGATTTATCACTCTATTTAAATTAATTGTGCCATTTAGATATATTAGTTATTAGTGTTCTTCACTATTGATTGGTTACTTGCTTAGTGATCGCTTGAGTCTAATTAATTAGGTGAACCTTAGTCTCTTGGGATTCGATCCTTACTTGCCCGTCTACATAGTAGTGGTCTTGTTTGGTTTATTTTTGTTAGGTACGTGACACGTCTATCAACTATCAAACATATATTTTGACTATTTGACCAAACTAAAAAGCCAAAAGTCAAAAGTTAGGCAAAAAACCAATTGCCAAACACCCCAATAACCATGCATCAATGACCATGCTATATGGGTCATTGAATCAACAATCCCACTAAGGGATGCCTTGCACGGCTGCACCCCACTATAGAAGTCAAAATCATCACTAACTATCTAAAATGTGTTCTCATAAAACTATCATTTTTACAACGAAACAATGTAAACTCGGTCAACTTGACTGTGGACAGGGGGAGTATAGTAATACTTATGTAATACAATGAAACAAACTTGTTTCTATCTCCGTCAAAATTGACCATCTACATAGTAGTGGTCTTGTTTGGTTTATTTTTGTTAGGTACACGACACGCCTATCAACTATCAAACATATATTTTGACTGTTTGACCAAACTAAAAAGCCAAAAGCCAAAAGTTAGGCAAAAAACCAATTGCCAAACACCCCAATAACCATGCATCAATGACCATGCTATACGGGTCATTGAATCAACAATCCCACTAAGGGATGCCTTGCACGGCTGCACCCCACTATAGAAGTCAAAATCATCACTAGCTATCTAAAATGTGTTCTCATAAAACTATCATTTTTACACGAAACAATGTAACCTCGATCAACTTGACTGTGGACAGGAGGAGTATAGTAATACTTATGTAATACGATGAAACAAACATGTTTCTATCTCCGTCAAAATTGACCGTTGTAACAACTTTATGATATTAAAGCACAACTGCACAAGTATGTAAAGTGACGCACTCTGTATTATTAAACACTAAACACATGAGCCGGTTAGGTAGCCAATTTAAAAAATATCTTCTTCATTAATCTCTACACAATCCTATGAGATTTTGCTATCCATTTCCCGTAATTATGCAAGAAACCCCGCTTTTAATAACACTCGTCAATGTTGTTATCACAATATCACCAGATGCACCTTACATGGCCTATTGGCCAACTTCTATACTCAAAATAAATTTTAACAACAATAAAAAAAATGAGGCTTCTATAAAACCATTTTTCCATTCAGTTGAAAGCAATGTAAATCCAAGCTTAAGACGTCAAAGTCTATTTTGCAATTAAAATGGCTAAATT